CGGCGCCCTCTCCCGCCGCCCTGGGCGCCTTCTCGGACGTGCTGGTGCGCTGCGAGGTGTCCCGCGTGCTGCTGCTGCTCCTCCTACAACCACCGCCGGCCAAGCTGCTGCCGGAGCACGCCCAGACCCTGGAGAAGTACTCCTGGGAGGCTTTTGACAGCCACGGGCAGGAGAGCAGCGGCCAGCTTCCCGAGGAGCTCTTTCTGCTGCTCCAGTCTTTGGTCATGGCTGCCCACGAAAAGGACACGGAAGCCATCAAGTCGCTGCAGGTGGAGATGTGGCCACTGTTGACTGCTGAGCAGAACCACCTCCTTCACCTCGTTCTGCAAGAAACCATCTCCCCCTCAGGACAGGGAGTCTGATCCATCCCATTCACCCAGTGACTTTTTGCCCAGACCGGCAGGGGATTCCCATCAGTCACGTGAACCAGATGACTTTGCCTGTTACCAGACCTCACACATCCACGTTTGCGTCTGGGGAGGAATAAAAAAGACATCGTTCCGGCTTCTGCGTTTTGTTATTCCTGTTGCCGCCATAGGAATTATTTCGTTGGCTGAACGTTACCTGCATCCCAAGAACACACTTTGATAGAATCAGAGTAGAGGACACGGCCGTCTTCTAAAAAGCCACGACATGAAAATGACAGTCCCTTTCGTCTCCTTCCTCTGCTTCTTCCACCCAACGCAGCCTCCTGCCTCCGCCTTTGTTTCATAGTGAGGATTTTATTTTGCACGGCACTCTCCCTCTAAATACCTACCCTAGATGATTTCATCCTGCCCCTCATTTCTGAACGTATTTCTGTGTCTTTGTAATGGCCACATTTCTCCTTCCACTCGTCCGCACAGTACGTCTTCGTGGCAGGGGAGTCATTTTATTCCTTACAGCTTCCTTGTAACCACAGCCCTAAATCCATGATAAAGCTACTCTTGCACTCCTCATGTGTGGTTTTGGTGTCCCTCGTCTATAAAACGTGACTCTCTTCCCTACTTGTCAGGAGGCCAGAAGCAGAACCAGATAGCTCTTTGGGCTCCAGGATGTGTTCGTTCCTTTGAAATTTGCACTACGCCTGCCTCCTATGTGGGCAACGAACCTGCAGAGATCATCTGTGATGTGCTCCGTACTGGGGTGACTGCAATGCAAACGTGTCCAATGCCGCGGGTCCGGTGCCGATGCATCAATTTGCATTGGAATTCACGGTTCCGGTTATTTTCCCAGAGGTATATGCAGTGTGGATCACAACAGCTTTTATTTGTAATAGGGATTCCCCCCGCCCCCCATCCCCGAGATGGAGTCTCACTCTGTCACCCAGGCTGGAGCACAGTGGCGTGATCTCGGCTCACTGCAACCTCCGCCTCCTGGGTTCAAGCGATTCTCCTACCTGGGCCTCCAGAGTACCTGGGATTACAGGCGCGCACCACCATGCTAGGCTAATTTTTGTATTTTTAATAGAGACGGGGTCTCACCATGTTGGCCAAGCTGGTCTCCAACTCCTGACCTCAAATGAGCCACCCTCCTCGGGGTCCCAGAGTGCTGGGATTACAGGCATGAGCCACCACGCCTGGCCTGTAATAGGGATTTTGCTGCAACTTTTAGTTAAGTGGGTGAAATCAGAGTGCGTGGCCCTTTGGTGGTGTGCGATCACGTGACTGCAAGGCAGCCTCCCTGTTCCCCAAAAGCAGGATGGCGTTCCATTTGAAAACACTTAAGTTTCCAAGGCTTACTGGCTCAAATGGAGCATGCAACCCAACTAAGCTGTTTTCTTATTTATTGCGTCTTTTTGATCCTTCTGATGGTGACAACAAGAACCCTTCAGAATATAGCCTCTTTCTCAGACTTTCAACCCTGGGGAAATGCATCCTTTGGGCCGAAGTGGCACACAATACTGATCTTCAGGGCTGAGATATAAGGACACAGTTTGGAGTAGGTGTTTTTGTTATGCGTCTTTTTGCGGGGGAGAGGTGTGGAGGGTTGTCACTGTGAGTTGAGTGCCTCAAAATGGGTGGGACTTGTAGGGTGTTCTTTTCTGCTTCTACTTCTATTTCAGCAGTGTGGAAGTAACGGGAAGCACCGTCATTCCTCTTTCTCTCACTTGGCTGCCAGGAAGGGTCCTACGGAGCCCTGAACGCCTAGCCCAGATTATTGTAAAAGCGGTTGAAGGGCTCATGGTCCTTTGCTCTTTGGCTGTTTCCTGGTATGCTCCTCTTAACCCGGGCTGCAGACCTGGCCGGCTGGCTTATTGTCAGGTTTAGGAGTTACGGAGCATGACTGGTGACCAGTTTGGGATTTGGGCTTCAGGAGAAGCCCCCTTAGGCCTCTGGTCCAAACTCCTTGCATCAGGGAGGTGAAGGGAAGGATAACCAGACAGTCAGGTCCTGGGTAGCTGAGCATAATTCTAGGAAACACTAAAACTCCTCGTTTTCCATTTGCCGTGGGCTCATTCATGTATCTCCCTCAGAAACTTAAGAGCAGTGATAACTGGGCCGGGGCCAGATTTCAGCATTTTTGAGAATTCCCTCCTAATGTGCCACATCAATATCAAAAGTCAACACTGATTTCTAGCATGCCAAAAGCAAATATTTTCAGAGGACATGACTCCTTTGCTTTTTAACTTGAAAACAATTCCAGATCCACATTTAAAACAGTGTAAACCGTCGGAAATGGTGGCAGCGAAGCAGTGAACCCTTAAAGGGTGTTGGGGTTCCCCTTCTCCCCATTATGAGGTACTCCTAAAAGGAGAAGTGTTGCTTATGAAAGAATATTTTATACGCGAATAGCGCAAAGACAAAGACGTTTGAGAACCGCTACGCCGGAGGAAGGTGATCAAGACTGAAATTAGTGTATTAGGCAAGATCTGGTTCCTAGGTGCTGAGGATTCTGGTGCCAAGGATTAATGTTAACCGTGTAGGCATCTCTACCACCGTTAGAGGAGACCAGCAGCCCACAGACTCTTTCTGTCAAGGGCCAGATAGAAATGTGTTAGTCTTTACAGACCGCAGATGATCTCTGTTGCACAGTCTTCTTTGTTTCTTTGTATGTTTGTCTTTGCAATCCTTTAAACGTGTAAAAACTATTCTTAACTCACAGTCCGTACAAAAGCAGGCTGTGGGCCAAATTCTGGGGCTATAGTTTGCCCACCCCTGAATTAGAACCCAGAACATAGTAGTTGCTCAGTGGCTGTTCAAGGAATGAACCTCATGAGAGTAGTTAATAACTATAACTAATTTATCCTTATCATTAAAGGACAAAGATTGAAGAATAAGTGAACTAAGCATTCACCTCCAGATTGTAGAGAACAAACAAAATAAACCAAAAGAAAGGAAAATAGAATTTTTAAAGTTTTGAACAGAGATTGATGAACTAGAAACAGCTCTTTCAAAACCAGGTTTGAGTTTAAAACTGAGCTGATTCTTTGAAAAATTAATAGAATAGACAAACACTTGCCAACTCTTGCTACAGAGGGGAAAAAAGGAGAAAAGACATATATGTATGTGTACAGATATAGATGTATGGCACAGGAAGGGATATATGACTCTAATGTGCACATTTGCAGACATTAACTCAAGGCAACACAAATGAGAATAGCAATAATCACATAAGGATTGGAAAATATAGCCTAGTATCTCTCACTAAATAAAGCACATGGCTCACATGGCTTTTTCATTTACTCTCATTAAATACTGGATTCCTACATTAAATAAGCTATTCTAGAGCAATAGTTTCATGGAAAAAATGGAAGCTTTCCCATTTTATTTTCAAGTTTAATATAACTCTCATGCCAAAACCTGATAAGTAGAGCTACTGAAAAAGTTAAACCCATTTCATCCATGAATATAGATATAGAAATTATAAATAAAGTGTTGGCAAATTGGATCCAGCTAAGTTTTAAATGACTAACACACTATGACTGATGAAAGTTTTCCCAGGAATGGAGCACAGTAGTTCTCTTGCACTGGTCTGTGAGAGCCAATTGTAAGTAAGCATCTCTTCCCACCCCTGGGGCCAGGCATGATGGGAGTAGTATTTATGTCAGGGAAATCTGCCAATGCTCTAAATCAAGGCCTTTACTTCCTAACCTCCTCTCACTTTGCTCCCCTGTGGGTTGCTAATTTATTGTCAGCACACTACTGAATGTTAAGTATAATCTGACAATACAAAAGAGAAATGTGACCATGTCAAAGATGCTGGAAAAGCATTTGATAAAATTCAGTTGCCACTGCAAATAAAATAGGAATAGAAGAAAACTTTTTAGACGTCATAAAAAGTATTTGAAACTAACAGTGAACATTATATTAAACAATGAAACACAGGTTACATTCTCATTAAAGTCAGGAACAAGATAGGCTTATTTGTTATATGTTTACCAGGTCCTGTCAGTGTAATGTCATCAGTGTAATGGACAGGCATGGTGCTTGTGGGATGTAAAGATGTTTGAGGTCCCTTGAGTCTATATTATGATAGAAAACAAAAGAGCTAACATTGCCCTGACGCATGGACAGTAAACTTAATACTCTTGTTCCTACTTGGTAAATTCAAATGTATTCTGATTTTACTAATGTATGGAAATGAAGAAAAAGCATTTTCTAGGTAAATACTTCTATATCAGGCTCCTGGGCCTGTGTAAATTTGCTTCAACAGAGATATGATATCTGGAATTGCAATTTTTTTTTGGCATCACCACCTGATTAAATTTGTGATGCTCTGCTGTCATATTCCGTGACTCGCCTGGCTTTTGTAGTGGCCAAACAGGCTCTCTAAGGAGAACAGTCACTGGTTTGTGAGGCACCTATCCCAGTTATAGCCACTGAAAGGCTTTTATGCAAAAGAGGGATGACTGCTTCAGAGACTGGTGAGTGGTTGCCTCCTCAGGCAAAGGAGGTTCAGGGGAATTTGGAGGTTTGCAATTCTCAGCCTCATCCATGTCTGCCTAAATGCCTCCATCTCAAATGGAGGTGGAGTTTCAATGGAGGCCTCAGAGTTTCACTCCTTCCCACCAGTACTCTTACCACAGCACAGTAGATCTGGTAGAGTTGAGCATTTAATTGTCACTGCAGCTCTGCAACTTATGCTCAGCCCTTAAGTCGTATCTGCCTACAACCACAGGATGTGGAGGATTCCTCAAAAGCTCTATGTATGCATCCTGATTTTCCATGTATGTTCATCAGTGTTCTTATTTTGTATATAGTCACATTTCATTTCTTTTTCCATGTGTATGTCCTCTAGGGCTGTAAGAAGACAGACCATTCTACAATCAGGTAATGGCTATGTTTGTTGCCACAGTGACTAAATGCCACTGTCATTTAATCTCCCCAGTGTCTTACTTGCCATCTGCAACTCATCCCATAGTATCACTGGTGATAATCTGAGAAACTATAATACTAACACATGTCATGGATTCCCTAACTGCTCATTTTCTTCCTAGGCAAATATGTTATCTCTGTGTTTCTTGAATATATTAGCAATGTAACCTTAGAACTGCATTTTGAAAATCTGTTTCCTGGGGTTTCTTCTAGCACCAATTACTGTATGAAACAAGGGATCCAGCAAGGAACAGAAAACATGTAAATTAGGATAATTTGTGGAAGATTTAATAAATATACTAGTTAGGAGGGTGGGAACAGAGTATTACCATCCTGTAAACCCAAAATAAAATTCTAATCCCCCCAACCATCTGAATGAACCCTTCCTTTCAGCAAAGGGCATTCCAAAGTTAACCTGAAAAACTAGTTCAGGCCATGATGAGAAGGTGGGGATCAAACATGCCTTATTATGTCCTCCTCCCTTTTGGAATTCAGAAAAATCTGACCAGCATTAACATCAACACAGACCTTAAGACGGATAGAAAAGACTCTTGAAGTCTGATAAGAAACATTTACAATGTATTCTCTCTGAAGCCTGCCACCTGGAGGCTGCATCTGCATGACAAAACCTTGGTCTTCACAATCCCTTATCTTAACCCAGATGTTCCTCTCTATTGATTCTAAGTCTTTACACAATAACTTAACTCTTTCAACTAATTCCCAATCAGAAAATCTTTGAATCTACCTACGACCTGGAAGCCCCACCTCGCTTCCAGTTGTCCTGCCTTTCCAAACTCAATGAATATACATCTTACATCTATTGATTTATGTCTTATGTCTCCCTAAAATGTGTAAAACCAAGTTGTAGCCAGACCACGTTGAGTACGTGTTCTCAGGATCTCCTGAGGGCTGTGTCACAGGCCACTGGTCTCTCATATTTGGCTCATAATAAATCTCTTCAGGTATTTTACAGGGTTTAACTTTTTGTTTGTTGACAATCCCTAAACCTGAAAGGATCAGAAGAGACAGAAACATCCTGAAAGACAGAATTGGATAGATTATTGTAGTGGCTTTTAAAAATCACCATCAATTATTTAACATTTCTCCCATTAAAAATTAGGGTCTATGTCTCTTCCCCTTGAATCTAGGTGGATATGTGATTTGCTTATAACCAATAGAATGTATTGAAAGTGAGGACTAAACTCTGATTTTTTTTTTATCTTGCCCAAATTCCTATCTAAGGGGCCTGGGGAGTCATGCCCTACAAATCATAAATTCTCATCAGATGGGTTTTATTTAACCTTTATATATCATGATTTACTTTCCAACCTGACTCTGGAATAACATTGTGAGACAAGGAAGAAAATAAAAATATTTTGCCCCAAAACATGTTTCTTTGCCATATTTTTAAATGGCCCTGCAAAGCTGTTCTTTGTGGGGGGAAATTTGCATCTGTAAAGAATCTCTATTAACATAGCTAGATCTTTTTCTTCCAGCCCCTCCCAATCCTAAAGAGATTAACTAAGATCTGAATACAAAACATTTGTCATCTATTGTCTCTAAGGGCAGCCACTATAAGACTTCAAAAGAACTTTGGTCTCCACAATGTTTATCTTAACCTGAACATTCCCTTTCTATCAATCCCAGGTCTTTAGACAAACTCAACCAATTGTCAACTAGAAAATGTTTAAATTCACCTGTAGCCCGGAAGCCCCCAGATTGAGTTGTCCCGCCTTTCTGGACCAAATCAATGTATTTCTTAAATGTATTTGATTGATGTCTCAAGCCTCTCTAAAATGTATAAAACCAAGCTGTGCCCCGACCATCTTGGGCACATGTTCTCAGGACCTCCTGAGGGCCGTGTCATGGGCCATACTCACTCATATTTGGCTCAGAATAAATCTCTTAAAATATTTTACAGAGTTCAACTCTTTTTGTTGACAAAAGTGATGCTACATAACTTAAAGACTAGGGCAGAAAAGGTTATGTAGTCTTCACCTTGTTAACTGTAACACTCACACTTGGAGGCCCTAAAATGATGTGTAAGAAGTCCAACTACAGGCTGGGCACGGTGGCTCACGCCTGTAATCCCAGCACTTTGGGAGGCTGAGGCAGGCGGATCACCTGAGGTCAGGAGTTCAAGACCAGCCTGGTCAACATGGCAAAACCCGTCTCTACTAAAAATACAAAAATTAGCTGGGTCCACGTGGTGGCATGAACCTGTAGTCCCAGCTACTCAGGAGGCTGAGGCAGGAGAATCACTTGAACCCGGGAGGCAAAGACTGCAGTGAGCCGAGATCACACCACTGCACTCCAGCCTGGGCAACAGAGTGAGACTCTGTCCTCCTCCCACCCTCCCTGCCCCACAAAAAAGAAGTCCAACTACCTTGAAACATGCTGTAAGGAAGCCCAGGCCTCAGGGAAAATCCATGTAAAGTTACATCAGTCAATAACCCCAGATTCTGTCCTAGCTGACAGTCAGCACCAACCACCAGAAATGCAAGAGAAGGAACTTCCAGATGATTCTAGCACCCAGCTGTTAAATATTCCTAACTGAGGCTCCAGAAACCACCCATCCCCACTGTGTCCCAAAGTCTTGATCTACAGAATCTGTGAGTAAAACATAATGGTTTTTGTTATGACACTAAGTTTTGAAGTGGGTTGGTACACAGCAATAGTAACTAGTACAGGTTGAAAAAGCCACTCTGAGGGAAACAGTGACCTTAAGTGGAGAGAGAGAGTGAACTCCTCTACAAGGGGAAAGTCGGAAGAATAAATATGCCAATCTTTTGCCAGTGCTCCCTGTTGGTGAAATCCAAGCAAAAGCTGGAGGACAAGGTAGCCTGTTGATGTATTCTATACAAGCTCACCTCACAGAACAAGAAGCAGGATAGAGAAGCAGGAAAATGGATCTAAAGGGGCAAACAAAAGTTATCTTGCTTGGGGTCATTTGAAGACTTTGAACTTTATTCTGAAGACAATGGGAAGATATTGAAAAGTTTTAGACAGGCAACTGATGCTTATCCTGAAAATGATGTGCAGCCTTTGTTGGAGAATAGATTAGAAACAGGGGAAGACTAGTTAGGAATGTAAAACAACAGATCAAGTGTGAGGTGATGGGACCCTGGGCTGTGGCAACAGTGGTATAAATGGAAACAGAAGAAAGATGTGAGAGGCATTACAAATAAAGGATTGACCAGATTTGTGGGCATAAAAATGAGGGAAGAGTAGACAATAACGCTGAGGTTTTAAGCCTTTAAGGGTCTTGAGCTCACCTCTAGAGAATTCATCAATTCCCAAAGTTTCACCCATCCTTTTATGTGGAAGTCATGAATCTTCATCTCCATCCATGGTTTTGCCCCCTAAACTTGTCTTTCACCTACTGCCTGCTGGACATTTCAACCTGATTGTCCTACTATAACCTCAAACCTAGGATATCAATAAGCAAGCTCACAATCATCAATCCACACAATCCTGAATCACATATTTCTGTCAATACAGCATCTTTTCATTTCTATCATCTATGAGCCTTGACACTACTACATTTTTGCTGATATGTCTGTAATAACTCCTATTGTTCATAAGTGAAAAAGTATTTTTTGGAGTTAAGTTTGTAGAAGCTAAGAGTGTTTGTCCAATATCTGAAATCTGCCAAAATTCTTTAAAGTATTCAGGCATTCCTTTTACATGACTAATTACATACCATTAAGGTTCCAGTGGAATTTCCTCGATAAGTCTGCCACTTTTTCCCATCAAGACTATACATGATGATAAACTGAGAGATGTAGAGGCTGGAGAACTTCTGACGGGCACCCTGGGTCTTGATGCCGTGAATAATCATTGGTGCCAACAGATCCACCTACCAATTAAAACAATACTTTATTTCAACCTATTTTTAAATGTATGTACTACCTCCTGAAACTAATTATTAGCTTAGGAAGAATCTACATTGCTACAGATGTGTCCATCATTACCTGACATGTGCAAGTGAAGCAGTCACCAATGTTGAAATGTGCATGTGTGTGTGAAGCTGTGGGATAAACAATAGAAATGAATAGAAAAATGCTTATTGAGTTCCCAGCCTGCTTCTTGACAAACCAAACCACTACCAAATCATTGAGCCCCCATTTCCTACACACACACACACACACACACACACACACCCCTTTTGTGGACTCTCATAAGCTAATGGACCCACATAAGCTAATGCTTTGCCCACACCTCAGTCTCAGACTAAAGCCAATTTCCTGCCCTCTTCCCAAACCAGACCCAGCCCAACATCACTGTCAGTGATGAACTGCTACACCTCCTTCGAGTGTTAGTTCAGGAACTATTTTTCCTGGTTAGCCTGCTCTGACTCACCCAGACAAATTTAGTGCTGCTTCTTCTATGCTTCTACTTCACTTTGTATATAACTTTATTATAGCAAATTATTGCACCATATTATAAGGTTGCTTTGCTTTTCTGCTTTTCTTATTAGACTGAGATCCTTAAGGCAATGAACCTAAACTTTCTGTGTCTCAATTTATCTGTAAAGTGAAGATAATATTAGTTTTTATCTCAAAGGGCTGCCATTAGGGTTAAAGAGTTAATACATGTAATGTGCTGAGTTCAGTGCCTAGTGCATACTAAACACTTGATCAATGTTAGCTTTTATATTCTCTGTAGCCCCAGCACCTAATATGGTATCTGGTGTAATACTGCTATATAGCAAATGCTTTGGAATGAATGAGTGAATAATGGAAAAGTAGTATAGAATGGACACTTCTTAAAGAAGAGGTCGTGGACTACAAGAACATTAGAAGTATCAGTTACTGTCCTAACAAGCAAGTCAAATTTAGCATGTTTTCACAGATGCCTGACACACACAAATTGGACTGGTCATGACTCTTGTGCTTAATAACTGCCTCCTTCAGCTCACTGTAAGTTCCATTCATACACTCATCCAAAGAATATTTTTTAGCACTTGCTATGTGCCAAGCACTGTTTTAGGTACAGGGAATAGAGTAGTAAACAAGAAACAAAGCCCTGCCCTCATGGAACTTACAGTTGAGTAGGGGAAATAGACCTTATATATGTTTTTATTTGTTTATAGCCTCAAGTAGTGATAAATGCAGGAGAAAAATGAAGCAGGGTAACAGGACAGAGTGTCAAGGTCTTCAGAAGTTGCAGCACTGTCTTTTTCCAGATTAGATGGTATTCCCATTCAAAGACACTTCATTTTAACATCTTGGTATTATGGCATAAAAAAGTGAAAGCAACAGGCACAAAAATCATGATTTTTACTGAATTGACTTTTACTGTTTCTTCATATAGATAGAGTATAAGAGTTTTTTCTTGGACCAGTGATTATTGTATTTTCTAGCAGCCTTGCTAGAATAAAGCTGCAATAGAACCAGGCTACAATAAAGCCTTGGCAGCCTACCTACATTCTGCAACTGACGAATGCTTGGCAACTGATGAATGCTTGACAAACTGCCAGGCTTATCTACTTCATCTTCTTGTGCCTCTTCTACATTATAATTGGCACCTGGGAGCAGTTTGACAATTACAGACTCAATAGCTTCACCTATGTGCACCAGCTGGGTGTTTCAGTGTAACTACAAGACACATCTGTCTACTAGGAAGTAAGCAAGGGGGTAATGAGTTTCATTGTATAAAAGTACAAATATTGCAGCTGCGTATCTCCATGGAGCCTGCTGACTTCCCCCTGTGCATTGCCTGGTCTTGGTCACCTGGTGCTCCTCAAGCCAGCCCAGTGCTCTTGTGGCCAGGCTGTTGTGCACTCTTCAGGCCTTCTCACGAGAATAGATGCCTTCTCCAACTCCCTTCTTTGTCAGCACGCCTTTCAACTCCATCTCCATGGTTTATTTTAAAGTTACAAGATATATAAAAAGTCTAGCTGGACCTTAGTAGGACAGATGGCAAAAACCACCTTGAAGATAAGGTGATTTAATAGTGGTAGATGATAACATAACTAGGTGGATTTGTAACTGGTTTAATTTCCATAAGTAAACAGTGACAGTTAATAGATGGTTATCAACTTAAAGGGAGCATTCTGGAAACAGTGTAGTACAATGGTTACCAACTAGGGTTCTGGAGCCCAACCATCAGAATTTGAATTTTGGCTCAGTCACATACTAGCCATGTGACTTGGGCCTCTCTATGCTTCAATGTGACTTGGACCTCTCTATGCTTCAATTTCATTATCTGAAATGAAGATGATAGTAACATCTAGCTTGCTTAGTATTGTGCACATACTAAGGAAGTCTTATCTACTTCAATACTTTGATCATGACTTTGCTGCAGTATTACAAAGTTTACTGATCAAATCAGTAACTGGAAAAACTAGGAAACACTTTGGGATACTGAAGATTGGCAAACTGAAACAATGGGCCAAATCTAGTAAGTGGAAACAACAGGGTATATTGTTCAGGGTTCATTGGCTAGGCACAGACAGGACACTCTATTTACTAGTCTTATCAGGTTGTATCTAGGGAGGAAGATATAATTCCCCCCTCCCAAATAAGAATGTTATTACAAAAAATTAAATAGCACAGACACAGGGCGGCCAAATAGATAAATATGTCCTCTATATAGGGATACATTTAAGGTTGAAAATAACCATAGAAATACAAGGTGAAGAACATAGCATGTTGTTTGGCAGAAGCACAAACAAACAAAAAATACTTAGGGATTAGTGAACAGCAGCTCAGATTGAGTCAAAATTGGCAGTGTCTACAAAACAATGCTGTGGCATTAATAGACATGCTATTTACAAAGATGGAAACCAAAATGTTTTCTCCATTTCCTGTTTAGGTGGAGAGGCTGAGTAGGCACTGCCAAGCTGCCCCCAGCTTTTGTGAGGCATGGAAGAGACCCAGAAGTTTCCATCATCTGTCTGCCTTTGAAGGGGCCCGATTGATCAAATGTTGAAATGATAGTATTTTCAGATATGTTGAGTTAAATAAAATGTATTATTAAAGTGAATTTCACATTTTTGAAAACGTGGCTACTAGAAAATGTAAAATTACACATGTGGTTTGCATTTGTGAACCATTGTTTTATGTTAAAATAAAGGGGATTGGAGTACTTAAGGACACCTGGGCGGTTGGCAGCATCTAATAATAACATATACTGTATTGAGAGATGATGAGTTCAATATTATAGAAAATATTCAGATGTTCTAATCCCAGTAGAAGGACTAAAATACAGAAATACAACATATCAGTATACTCAATTCTATCCCCATATCTCTTTGTTCATGACTGCTTTCATATAAATCATAAGGCATTCTGTTCTTTAGTTTTCTCATATTCATAGAATCCTTTGAGCTTACAGGAGGAATAAGTAATGCAATTGACTGAATGTGATACATTTCCCACCATTGATTAAATTTTCTAACCTTGATCCAAGAAAAGGGCTCCTTGGTGCTCCAGGCATTGATTGATCCGGAATAATGAAGTCTGGCCAGCTTTGGGGCCCACTGTCCTTTGCCGAAGTAAAGAAACAGAGATTAAATCAGCTGGGTTGGTCCTAGACACTTGAGAATAAAATTATTGTCTTGAGAAAGATTAATCTAAGCTGTGGTGAAAATAGAGAAAAACATAAAGGCTTTATGGCATACCAGTATCAATTACTATCTAAGGATACTGCTTATCCTTGTTGTCCATTTTATTTTCTAAAATTTATAATTTTGTTAATTGTTAGCACCGCTAATTAGCTGATACTGCAATTTGTTACCGACACTACCAAATAATAATATTATTATTTCTTTTCTTTTCTTTTTTTTCTTTTTTTGAGATAGAGTCTTGCTCTGTTGCTTAGTCTCGCTCAGGCTGGAATGCAATGGCGTGATCTTGGCTCACTGCAACCTCCACCTCCTGAGTTCAACCAATTCTCCTGCCTCAGTCTCCCGGATAGCTGGGACTACAATTGCGCACCACCATGCCCGACTAATTTTTGTATTTTTAGTAGAGATAGGGTTTCACTATGTTGGCCAGGCTGGTCTTGAACTCCTGACCTCAGGTGATCTGCCTGCCTCAGCCTCGCAAAGTGCTGGGATTACAGGCGCGAGCCAACATGCCTGGCCTATTATTTATTATACAATTTATATTCATTGTAGAAAAATCAGAAAATGAAAAGTAAAAATAAAAATAAGTAAAAATACAAATAAAAGAAATTTTAAAATGTAACCCTTCTACCTAGTGAAAAATGTTACTATTTTGGTATACAACTCTTAAGCCTCTTTTTCAAGGGGATTTTTTACCCCACAAAAACATAGGTTGGCAAACTTTTTTTGTAAAGGGCCAGATAGTAAATCATTTAGGCTTTGCATATTATATGGTCTCTGTTGCAACTATGTTACTGCTGCTGTAGCCATAGATGTAAATTAATGGACATGGCTGTGTTCCAAAATAAGACTTTATTATGGATGCTGAAATTTGAATTTTATAATTTCACGTCGTGAAATAGTCTTCATCTTTTTGTCAATTATTTAAAAATGGAAAATCTGTTCATAGCTCACATGCCATACAAAAACAGGCAGTGTGCTGCATTTTGCCTGTGGGCAGTAGTGCTCTAAAACAATTTTTGATAATTCTCTATAGACCCTAGTCAAACGTTACCATTACTGCTCACAGGAAAGTGTAGCTTCCTGCTACAGTGAAAAGAATTGACTCAAGGAAGGAATAGTGAAGGTAGGGAGAATATTTAAGGAGGCAGTGTCATTGCCCAGGTAAGAAATGATAGTGACCAGAGTTAAGATGGCCACAGTGGGAAGTGGAGAGGAGGAGATGTATTTGAGAGGCACTTATGGAATAGAACAAATAGAAGCATGGAGATGGATTCATTATCTGAGATTCTCCAACAGATTATTAAAAAAGATATAATCAGCCCAGGTTCTTGGAGCAAAAATAATAGTATTTACCATATTGTCCTGAAGCTGTAATCTGAAAATCTCTAATGCGTCCAGAAGCCATTCCCAGGGGAGTCTGACACTCTGAAATGAAACAGGTGGAACACAGTAACTAGAAGTGCACAAAATTCAGCTTCTCAAATGTAAGTCAATGAAAATGGGAGAATGTCAACAAATGCTAATATTTTTTAGTGTTTAAATGTGCCAAGAACTGTACTAAATGTTTTACTGTATTAGTTCATTTAATTAATCCTAACGGGTGCTAGACTGATTCACATTTTACAGCTGAAAAAACTGGGGTCCACACATAAATAGACCAGTGGTTCTCTTACTTGTTTAGGATTAAATCTCCAAACTCTTCCAAGTAATATTTCTAAGTTATCTGGTAACTAAATCAACATTAAATTCCAAAATCTGCTACTGGAGATCTTAGAGCTTTACCAAGTTGTGAAAATGAGGTGTTTTTCTGGTCAATTATTTAGAGCTTCAGGTTCAAAGTGTTCAAAGCTTCAAGTATATCTGCCCTCCTCTGAGAACTCTGATGATTTCTACCAGCAATATTCTTTTTAAATTTGATAATGATGTAAGCTTGTATTTATTTCCTGACACAAGCAACCATTCGAGAAAGGAGGAAAGCTGTAAAGAAGTAGGCTGAGTGGGCAGGGAACCTCTGCCCACATGGCTACTCACTGTTGCTGTACACCAGAAAAAGTGTGCTCATCCCAGCATGTAGGTGCTCGCCAATAAGGCATTCCACCCGCCAAATTCCAGCTTTGGATGGTAACATTTCAACTGTCTCAAAAACACCTTATAAAAACCAAAAGGAACACAAATTATTTCTTTTCACTAAAAAATGAGCATAAGATACATTGGTTTATGTGAAATATCAGGGTAGACCTACCAAATTTGGTAGTTCCACTATTCTTGGACCCCTCAAACCCAAAGTGCTTGCTAGGTGACCCTTACAGTTGGGGGTCATGGAGATTGAGTTCTGACTACTCCCCTCCCCCCAGGAAATGAGAAACAGGGTGACTGAATTCTTTGATGATAGGGACAGGAGAATGCTACTGCATTATGATTGACCTACATCCCCAGGGTTTTTCCAAGCAAAAGGTGTGTTTCCCATTGGCCAGATGTGGACTCTGTGAAAGAGATAAGTCAGGGTGAGTTCCCACTGGATCCAGTCCACTAGGGCTGCCTACAAGGGTAAAGTTACCCCAGCAACAAGAAGCTGCAGGTGAACACTGAGGGCTGAGAAATGAGTCACAAGTGACCACCCAGAATAAAGGTGGAAGAAACCATGTCAAGGGGATTTCATGACAGTCATGTAAGGGAGTCTCTAAAGAGTTCCCTGAAAGTGCCCTGCAGGAGAAAGAGTCAACTTTAAGTATTGCCAGGCACAAAGAGTGTTAAGCCAGTTTACAACAATGGTGCCAGCTGTAAATAGGTAAGAACTATCTTATCCCCTTACCTTTAACCTATCCATGTTGGAGTTCAAAACAGCAGCTATAAAGGGGCTGTTGCAAAGCATGATCATCACAAGGTACAGACACAGAGGACTCAGCCATGTCTCCCTTTTCCAGTGCAGACTTCCAGCCTGATGCAGGCTCAAGTTGGAGGGGACATTGAAGTTAAATCAAGTTCAGAACTTTGATTAATATCTTGGGATGCACATTGTAATTTCTGATTTGAACTGTATTTGTGATATAAAGTGACTTTAGTCCTGTTTATTACTTAAGGGCGAGGAGAAAGTTACAGGGCTTATCAGAATTTTTATGAAGAAATAGGGTAAGTTTACCCCCACTCTTAAACCAGATTTTTTTTTTTTTTAGAGACAGGGTCTAAATCCAGTCTGTCATTGATGGACGTTTGGGTTGGTTCCAAGTCTTTGCTATTGTGAATAGTGCTACAGTAAACATACGTGTGCATGTGTCTTTATAGCAGCATGATTTATAATCCTTTGGGTATATACCCAGTAATGGGATGGCTGGGTCATATGGTACTTCTAGTTCTAGATCCTTAAGGAATGGCCACACTGTCTTCCACAATGGTTGAACTAAAAAATGTGGCACATATATACCATGGAATACTATGCAGCCATAAAAAGGATGAGTTCATGTCCTTTGTAGGGACATGGATGCAGCTGGAAACCTTCATTCTCAGCAAACTATCGCAAGAACAGAAAACCAAACACTGCATGTTCTCACTCATAGGTGGGAAATGAACAATGAGATCACTTGGACACAGGAAGGGAAACATCACACACCAGGGCCTGTCGTGGGGTGGGGGTAGCAGGGAGGAATAGCATTAGGAGATATACCTAATGTAAATGACGAGTTAATGGGTGCATGCAGCATGCCAACATATGTAACAAACCTGCATGTTGTGCACATGTACCCTAGAACTTAAAGTATAATAAAAAATTTAAAATAAAATAAAATAAAATAAAAATTCAATAATTGTTAGTATATACATAGAGTTGTGTAGTCATCTGTGATCAACCTTACCTAGTAGTGTTAAGGGGCAAAGTAAGATGAAAACTGTGACCTGTGACTTTAGACAGTGGTATGGTAGAATTTAGAGTCAGATTGCAATGGATTAAGGAGAAAGTAGAAAGTGAACAAGCAAAGAAAACAAATGTGGACTATTCTTTATTACAAAGATGAAGAGAGACATAGCTCTGGGGGATGTGAGATCACAAAGTTTTGATTGATTTTTATGATTTAAAATATGTCAATACTTTTCTAAACTGAGAGGAAGGAGCCATTTCATCCAATTGCATTGGAAAAGGGAGACATGGCTGAGTCCTCTGTTTCTGTACCTTGTGATGATCATGCTTCCCCAAAGCCCCTTTATAGCTGCTGTCTTTCATAGCTCACTGCAGCAATCCTCCCACCTTGGCCTCCCAAAGTGCTGGGATTACAAGTGTGAGCCACTGCACCTGGCCAAACCTATTTTAAAGGGACAGTGGAGAACCAAAATAGAATTGTGTTGTGATCAACATTATGAGTAGTGCTTAATCAATATATTGGTTACATACATAAACAAATCACTCTTTGGATGACTACTGGTGCCCTATGGGATTTGAGATGGTAAATGATAAAGGAATAAATTCCTTTTCCCTAGGAAAGTACTATGACATTAATTATCCATTTATTATGTTCTATTTCCTTTTTAGCAATTTTTCTATATGTGAAATTATCTTGTTCATTTGCTAATTTATTTATCTCCCTGTAGGTTTGAAAAAGTGTTACCTGAGAGCATGAAGAAGTGTTACCTGAGAGCATGGAGCTTGTCTGCTTTGTTCACTGATTGTGTTCCCAGTGCCTAGACCATTTACAGTAAGTACTCAACAAATAGAGTAGGTAGAAGAAAGAATGCAAACGAGCTCATACCTGGATAGAGATTGTACACTGCCATTTTATACTCCTCTTTTTTTCGTACAGTGAACACATGTCCACTGAAATGAATAGAATGGATGTTTTCATTGCTGCCCATGCTGAGCAGATACCATCGAATCCTTTGATCCTGAGCCATTACTAAGCCAGGTAGTGTATCCATTATGTAGCCATTGATTGCTGGAGAAGGACACAGAGAAGCCTGTTAAAATCTATTATATAAGTTTCTTTCCCTCCACTCCACCAAAAAAACTGACATCTATGAGGATTCCACTCCCTCAGATATACTCTAAATAAATACAATGTTTAAGGCACTGGATCAAGTCTCATTTGTCAAAGTGCAATCTGCATTTCACAGTGATAATGTTTGGATGTGGGATATATTACCATGGAAGCGATAATTCTCTTTAAAAGTGGGATCTTCCATCTGGATATTGCAGGGAGCCCTGCAGTTTCTTCCTGTGTTTTCAGTGAAGTACCAGCTTTTGGTCTCATCAAAGATAGTGAAAAACAGAGCAAATTCCTGTACTGTCACTTGTCTCCCATGAGCAGGGTTCAGTGTGTTAGTGTGGCAGACCAGAAGGGGTCCAATCAGGCCTGAGTGCACATCTTTTTCCTAGGGAGGGAAGACATCAATCCTATGAGTATAAGCTCTCTCACCTATGAACCAGAGTGGATTTCTCATCAATTTTTATGCCACTCCAACCTGCCTCCCATCTTCCAAAAATATAATCCATCCTCTTCAGTAGATTCCAGAATGACATTTCTAAAACACAAATATAGTGATCAACTCCCTATTTAAAGCTTCTCATTGCATGCAGGATAAAAACCAAAATTCTTAGCACACAAAGACCATTTCTTTTAAACCAAAAAGTGGTCAGTACAATAGACACCTGCTTACCAGGTCAACATCAGAGAAATAAGCCCAGGCTTTGCAGTCAAACTCATCTTTAGTGGGCGCCATATGATGTTGCACTTTCCAAAAGTAAGTTTTGGTTTCATTAGGCTTGACAAAATTTTTTCTAGGTTCTGCTCCTTGCCTCTGATCTTCCTCATAAGAAATAAGGCTAGAATAGAAGGAATAGGGACGAGAGGCCTGATTTTTGAAAGTTACCTGCAGAACAATAACGACAAAAAAAAAAAAAAAGCAAGAATAATCTTCTAGGATCTTAAAGTCCTTAGGGTTTACATCCTTAAAAGAAATACCTGTCTTTTGGTCTTTATCAAAGTTTTTAATACCCTGGAAGAAGTGGTACAGATGGATGCTGTTAGAACCCAAACCTAATCCTGAGGAGGTTTTGTATTCTAAATTTAAGGCATGAACTCAAAGTTGCAAAGGAGAAAACTCCTAAACACTTAAAGGCAATTCCAGAGTAAAAGGGAAAATGTCACTGCAGGGGTTATAAGAGACCATAACGCCAGGAGTTGATATGTAAGTTAAGGTTCTTCATGACAAATTCTAGAATGAATGCATATTATCTTTTTAAAAAGGTTTATTTTCCAGATTAAAAATTATACATATTTATCATAGAATATATGGAAAGTCAAATAAAATGTAAGGCAAAAATTGCCCACAATTCCATAATTTTAGATCCTTCTACATCCTTAATATAAACAATCAATTAATTGAAACAATGAATAGATATTTTCAGAAAAAAATAAAACTACTTCGATCTTTGGTTCACACAATGCAGCAAAATAAATTTTAGTCTACAGGAAGTATTAAAAAGTTAAATGTAAAAAATTAAACTATAAGAGAAAAACTGAAGAAAGTATAGCTGTTTTCAAAAAAGTCTCTGGATAGGCACGAATTTTTATAAACATAAAAGCAATCAAAGTGTCAAAAAGTAAAAATTGATGGGTTATTATCTAAAAATTAAAACTTGTTTTATTTCAAAAACCATCGTTTATAAAATTAAGAGAAAACAAAAACTTGAAAAAGTACTTTTCATTAAAATGTTCAGTGGTTTACTATCTAATATATAAGGCAACGTAATTAATAAGAAAAGCACTTCCTCCACGAAAGACAAATGTGCAAGGGACATTACCAAATAATTAAGAAGAAAAACTCTTAAGATGCTCAAATACATTGCACTTCTGGAATTTTAATCTTAGAAAAACTGTTGTGATTACAGCGTTATTTATATAGTGAAAAAAGAAACTGTCTAAAAGGTTGTTCAAATAAATGGTTACATAAACTATGGTTCCAAAAATTCATATAATAGACTATTATGCAGTATTTTAAAAACATACATAGGAAGTGTTTTTAATGACATAAGAAATGTTTATGATGTGATATTTAGTTAAAAAACAAGAATCAGAATTCTGTATGGTATAATTTGAATATATAAGGAGAAAAATACACAGGAAAAATATAAGAACATACACAAACATGATAATTATGGAATTATTTTTCTATACTTAAACATTTCCAAAAGTGGGAATACATTATAGTCAGCAAGAAAATAAATATATAAAATTAATTTTCTTGTAATTCCATTATCCTTAACTCACCATGATATTATCTTCAACTTCTGCTCTTATATATGGCCCCAGGAGTCCCAAATGTTCATTTAGTTCTCCACGGTATAAGGGCTGAGTAAAGGAGCCATCAGTAAATTCCTGGAAAACAACTTTCTTGAACTGAGGGACACTGCCACTCTGAGCCCTGGAGAAAAGAAAGCAGAGGAAAAGCAATAATTTTATGTACCAAGTGGGTAGAAATGCCTCACATCCTCATTTTCCTAGGTGTCTGAGAAGCATTTTGCAGAGTTAACCACTTTATCTTCCTTGAAATATACTTTTGCCAAGCTTTATTAGTATGTAAGTTCCATGAAAACTGGGGTTTTGTCTATTTTGTTCACTGTTGTATTCCCAGCACCTGTAATGGTGCTTGGCACAAAGTAGTAGCTCAAAAAATATTTGTTGAATATTGAATGAATGTAGAGTTTATAAACATACTCCAAATATAAGAGAGTCCCATGGTCAAGCCCTTGGACCTCTTTTCTTTTTACTTTTAAAAATCCTATTAAAATTGTGAACTAAAAAAAATTGTGAACTAAAACATGTACAATAAAGTGCATAAAACACAAATGCCTTTGGTACAAAAATGCAATCATCACCCAGATCAGTAACATTGCCAATAACCCACAAGACTCACTGAATGTCCCTTTTCAATCATACTTTCTCCCTTCCCTCTGAAGGTATCCACCATTCTGATCTTTATGATAATCGTACATCCTTTAAAAATATAGTTTAGTTTTGCCTGTTTTGAAGTGTGTAAATAAAACATACTACATATATTCTTTTGTTTCTTCTTTCACTTAGCATTCTGGTTGTGAGATTCATCTATATTATTGTATGTAGCTATAGTTTGTTCATTCCTATTGTTGTATAGTATTATATGAATATACCCTAATCACGGACATTTGAGTCGTTATAATCTTTGGTGCTTTCAAATGGGCCTGCTAGAACCTTCTGGTGCATATCTTTTGGTGAACATATATGTGCATTTCTGTTGGGCACATACACAGCGGTGGAATTGCTACGTATGCATGTGTTCGACTTTGGTAGGTATTGCCACACTGTTTTCCAAAGCAGCTGCACCATTTTCCATTTTCATTAGCAATGTATGAGAGTTCCATTTGCTCCAAATTATTACAAATACCTGGTATTGACTGTGTGTTTACATTTTTTGATGTTCTATCAGGTTGAGCATCTTTTCTTATGAGTAGCAGTCATTTGGATTTCCTCTTTTGTGGAGCACCTATCCAAGTTTTTTTCTGCTAAGTTTTCTCTTGAATAATCTGCTTTTTTCTTTTTGAATCAAAATAGTACCCTATATATCCTTGATTGCTGGAGAAGGAGGACACAGAGAATCCTGTTAAAATCTATTATATAAGTTTCCTTTGTGTGTTCTTTGTGTTATGTATTGCATGTGTCTTTATAGCAGCATAATTTATAATCCTTTGGGTATATACCCAGTAATGGGATGGCTGGGTCATATGGTACATCTAGTTCTAGATCCTTGAGGAATCGCCATACTGTTTTCATGGATGCAGCTGGAAACCATCATTCTTAGCAAACTATGGCAAGAACAGAAAACCAAACACCGCATGTTCTCACTCATAGGTGGGAACTGAACAATGAGATCACTTGGACTCGGGAAGGGGAACATCACACACCGGGGCCTATCATGGGGAGGGGGGAGGGGGGAGGGATTGCATTGGGAGTTATACCTGATGTAAATGACGAGTTGATGGGTGCAGCACACCAACATGGCACAAGTATACATATGTAACAAACCTGCACGTTATGCACATGTACCCTACAACTTAAAGTATAACAATAATAAATTAATTAAAAAAAAGAAAGAAACATTTATGAAAATAATTTGAGTTCTAGAAAGTTGATTTCTTCTTTAAATTTTACATTTTCTTCTGCCAGATGCCTGGGAACACTGCCAATCAAAAACTGGCTTAAATTATGATCAAGAATAGAGGTTTCAAATTCCACATGTTCTCACTTATAAGTGGGAGCTAAATGATGCGAACACATGGACACATAGAGGGGAACAACACATATTGGGGCCTGTTGGAAGGTGGAGGGTGCAAGGAGGGAGAGGATCAGGAAAAATAACTGATGGGCACTAGGCTTCATTCCTGGGTAATGAATAATCTGTTCAACAAACCCCCATGATGTAAGTTTACCTGTGTAAGAAACCTGCACTTGTACCGCTGAACTTAAAATAAAAGTTCGAAAAAAATTCCCAGACCTTAGCGACTTCCTGATCATATGTTCCACTTGGGGAAAATTCAGATCAGTATTATAAACTGCCAACAGACACCAGTTCCCAAACACATGGACCATTCTTGCCTCTGAGAATCACAGAATGAAAGAAAATGATTGAGAAGCAGCTCAGGAAGTATTCCACCAGCCCAGACAATAGTTGTATCAGACAACTATTGTCCAGAACATCAGCCCCGCAATTCAATCTGAGGGTCTGACACCCCTTTAGAGAGAGCCAGAAAAATTTGGAAAGGCCAGAAGGGCAAGAAAACAAAACAAAACAAAAGGTCCAGTGAGCAAGATTTGAAGGAATAGGAGCTATTTTGCTGGGACAGAAGAGTTACCTAAGATAGAAGTATCTGAAAAGCTGTTATGTGGAGGAGCTATTGGGTCTGTGCTGTGTAGGATGTGGGGCGGGTGCAGGGGGGCGGGTACGTCCAGGGATCCACAATTAGCACAATCCAAAAAATAAAGTGAGCTGTTTTGGAAAGTCACCATAGTGGCTGGAATAACCACACACAAAAAAAGAATAGAGGTTTAACAGACAACACAGATGATAGAAAACTGGACTGTAAGTTAATGAAGTGAAAGTTAACTGATTCACCATTATCTTGAGGATATTTCTCTTTAGGGACTGATATGGTTTGGCTGTGTCCCCACCCAAATCTCATCTTGAATTGTAACTCCCACAATTCCCACGTGTCTTGGGAGGGACCCGTTGGGAGGTAATTGAATCATGGGGGCAGATCTTTCCCGTGCTGTTCTCATGATAGTGGATAAGTCTCCACTTATCCACTATCATGAGATCTGATGGTTTTATAAGGGAGACTTTCCTTGCACAAGCTCTCTTCTTGCCTGCTGCCATCCATGTAAGATGTGACTTGCTCCTCCTTGCCTTCCAGCATGATTGTGAGGCCTTCCCAGCCATGTGGAACTGTAAGTCCATTAAACCTCTTTCTCTGGTAAATTGCCCAGTCTTGGGTATGTCTTTATCAGCAGTGTGAAAACGAACTAATACAGGGACCAAGCTTAAAGTTAGAGTGGTTTACATCTATTTGTATTGCCTTGCTTACCCCATTAAGTGTTATTTGAATGCTATCTATGTGCTTATGACTCCTAAATTTATATCTTTAGCACAGACCTCTTCCTTAACTATCCAGACTCATACATCAAGCTGCCTACTAAACATCTCAATTTAGATATCTAATTGGCATCTCAAACCTAATATGCAAAAAACAGACCCTTCAGTGTTTCCTCAAATAAATCTGTTCTACCTCAAGCCTTCCATATCTCACTAAATGACACCATCATTCACCTACTTGCTCAGGACAAAACTTAAAAATGTTCTTTACATCCTCTCTCCTCATTCTTCCCATACTCAATTAACAGCCAGTCTTATATGCTTATCTTAAATTATACCCAACATCCTTCCATTTCTTTCCATTTCTATCACCACCACACTGGTCTAAATAACTGTCTTCTTTTATCTGTATGACTGCAATAGCATCTTAACTGGTATCTCTGCCTCCATTCTTGCCCATGGATGCTGTGTTCCATATAATTGGTCTTTCCTAGAGTCCTAGAGTTTGGACATAAATGGGAGACCTGCTTTTGTCTCTCTACATTTATCATTTACTAATTCATTCAACATACATTTATTTGAACATCTACCATGTGCCAGGCACTGTTCAAAGTTCTGGGGACACACTATTAAACAATACCTCCAAAGTTTGTGTTCTTAATGAGCTTAACTTATAGTCAGAGAAGATAGACAATAAAGAAATAAATATATAATATTTCAGGCACTGTTAAGTGCATTGAAAAAAAATGATGGGAGTAATATTTACACACAGTGTTTAGGGAAAGCCTCACTGATAAAATGAAATTTGAGCAGCGTCTTGAAGGAAGTAAGAGAACTAGCATTAGAGTATCAGGGGACATAATTTTAAATATAGAGAACAGAAACTGGAAGGGACTTGCCTTGTCTCAGATGAGACACTGGACTGTGGACTTTTGAGTTAATGCTGAAATGAGTTATGACTTTGGGGGACTGTTGGGAAGGCATGATTCATTTCCTGTGCTGTTCTTGTGATAGTGAATACGTTTCATGAGAGCTGATGGTTTTAAAAATAAGAGTTTTTGGCCGGGCACGGTGGTTCTCACCTGTAATCCCAGCACTTTGTGAGGCTGAGGTGGGTGGATCATAAGGTCAGGAGTTAGAGACCAGTCTGGCCAATATGGTGAAACCCCATCTCTACTAAAAATACAAAAATTAGCTGGGCATGGTGGCACATGCCTGTAGTACCAGCTACTTGGAAGGCTGAGGCAGGAGAATCACTTGAAGCCGGGAGGTGGAGGTTGCAGTGAGCAGAGATCACGCCACTGACTCCAGCCTGGGTGACAGAGCAAGACTCCATTTAAAAAGAAAAGGAGTTTTCCTGCACAAGTGTTCTCTCTTTGCCTGCTGCCATCCATGTAAGACATGACTTGCTCCTCCTTGCCGTCTGCCATAATTTTGAGGCCTCCCCAGTCATGTGGAACAGTAAGTCCATAAAACCTCTTTCCTTTGTAAATTTCCCAGTCTCAGGCATATTTTTATCAGCAGTGTGAGGACAGACTAATACAGTAAGTTGGTACCAGTAGAGTGGGGTGCTGCTGAAAAGATACCCGAAAATGTGGAAGCGACTTTGGAACTGGGTAACAGGCAGAGGTTGGAACAGTTTGGAGGGCTCAGAAGAAGACAGGAAAATGTGGGAAAGTTTGGAACTCCCTAGAGACTTGTTGAATGGCTTTGACCAAAATGCTGATAATAATATGGAAATCCAGGCTGAGGTGGTCTCAGATAGAGATGAGGAAGTTCTTGGGAACTGGAGCAAAGGTAACTCTTGTCATGTCATGTTTTAGCAAAGAGACTGGTGGCATTTTGCCCCTGCCCTAGAGATTTGTGGAACTTCAAATTTGAAAGAGATGATTTAGGTTATCTGGTAGAAGAAATTTTTAAGCAGCAAAGCATTCAAGAGGCAACTTGGGTGCTATTAAGGGCATTCATTTTCATAAGGGAAGCAGAGCACAAAAGTCTGGAAAATTTGCAGCCTGACAATGTTATAGAAAAAAAAAATTCCATTTTCTGAGGAGAAATTCAAGCCGGCTGCAGAAATTTGCATAAGCAATGAGGAGCTGAATGTTAATCCCCAAGACAATGGGGAAAATGTCTCCAGGCCATGTCAGAGGTCTTCACAGCAGCCCCTCCCATCACAGGCCCAGAGGCCTAAGAGGAAAAAGTTGTTTCATGGGCCGGGCCCAGGGTCCCTGTGCTGTGTGCAGCCTAGGGACTTGGTGCCCTGTGTCCCACCTGCTACAGCCATGGCTGAAAGGGGCCAATGCAGAGCTCCAGCCATGGCTTCAGAGGCTGCAAGTCCCAAGCCTTGGCAGCTTCCACATGATGTTGAGCCTGTGAGTGCACAGAAGTCAAGAATTAGGGTTTGGGAACGTCTGCCTAGATTTCAGAAGATGTATGAAAATGCCTGGATGCCTAAGCAGAAGTTTGCTGTGGGGGTTGGCCCTCATGTAGAACCTCTGCTAGGGCAGTGCTGAAGGGAAATGTGGGCTCAGAGCACTCACACAGAGTCCCTACTGGGGTACCACCTAGTGGAGCTGTGAGAAGAGGGCCACCGTCCTCCAGACGCCAGAACGGTAGATCCACCAAAAGCTTGCACCAGCATCCGGAAAAGCTACAGGCAATGCTAGCCCATGAAGGCAGACACGAGGGAGGCTGTACCCTGCAAAGCCACAGGGGTGGAGCTGCTTCAAATCCTCCAGTGGATTTTCATCTCACTCAGTAAATTCCAAAGACTTCACCATGGCCTTCAAGACCCTATGAAATTTGACCCTCTGCAACCTCTCTGCCCTCATCTGTTACCATTGTCTCCTGTTAATCCTGCCCCAGCCACACTGATCTCCTTGTTCTTCTCAAATGGACCACATATGCTCCTGTCTCTAGACCATTACAGTGCCCAAGACCATGGGCACCCACCTCTTGCATCAGCATGACCCAGATGCAAGACATGGAGTCAAAGGAGATCATTTTAGAGATTTAAGATTTGACTGCCCCATAGAATTTCAGACTTGCCTGGGGCCTGTAGGCCCTTTGTTTGTTTTGGCAAATTTCTCCCATTTGGAATGGCTGTATTTACCCAATGCCTATACCCCATTGTATCTAGGAAGTAACTAACTTGCTTTTGACTTTACATGCTCATAGGTGGAAGGGACTTGCCTTGTCTCAGATGAGACGCTGGACTGTGGACTTTTGAGTTAATGCTGAAATGAGTTATGACTTTGGGGGACTGTTGGGAAGGCATGATTCATTTTGAAATGTGAGGACATGAGATTTGGGAGGGGACAGGGTGGAATGATATGGTTTGGCTGTGTCCTTACCCAAATCTCATCTTAAATTCCCATGTTTTGTCAGGGGGACCTGATAAGAGGTAATTGAATCATGGCAGCTGGTCTTTCCCTTGCTGTTCCTGTGATAGTGAATAAGTCTCACAAGATCTGATGGTTTTAAAAAGAGGAGTTTCCCTGCACAAGCTCTCTCTCTTTGCCTGTGCCATCCGTGTAAGACATGACTTGCTCCTCCCTGCCTTCTGCCATGATTGTGAGGCCTCCCCAGCCATGTGGAACTGTGAGTCCATTAAACTTTTTTCTTTTGTAAATTGCCCAGTCTCAGGTAAGTCTTTATCAGCAGTGTGAAAATGGACTAATACAGGATCCTTTACAGATTAGATGTTAATGTAAGAAAAAAAAAAAGTTGGAGAACTTCAAGGTCTGTGGACTGAATAACTGAAATAGGAAATGGTTTTATTTATTTATTTATTTATTTATTTATTTATTTATTTGAGACCAAGTCTGACTCTGTTGCCCAGGCTGGAGTGCAGTGAGGCCATCTCAGCTCACTGCAACCTCCGCCTCCCCAGTTCAAGCGATTCTCGTGCCTCAGCCTCCCGAGCAGCTGGGACTACAGGTGTGCACCACCATGCCTGGCTAATTTTTGTATTTTTAATAGAGATGAGGTTTCGCCATGTTGCCCAGGCTGATCTTGAACTCCCGGGCTCAACCAATCCACTTGCCTCAGCTTCCCCAACTGCTGGGATTACAGGAGTGAGCCACTATGCCTAGCCAGGAATGGTTTTTGATTGCCATGGAGAAGGCTGGGCAATCAGCAGGTTTGGGGAAGGGGTAGGAATTAAGAGTCTAATTGTGTACATGTTAAGGTAGGGAGTTGATATGTAAATTTTGACTTCAGGAGAGAGAGATCTGAGAATACCTCCAGATATTCAACTGGAATTATCTGCAGATAGATAGTACTTAAAATCATGAGGCTAAACAATATCATCACAGAGTGAGTAAAAACACAATAAAGGAGAAGTTGGACAACTAATCCCTGGAGCACTCTAACCTTTAAAGATTAGGGGGATGAAGAAGGACTCACAAAGTTGACAAAGATTGGCAGTGAGTTTAGTAGAAAAGTGAAGAAAAGTGGTGTTAGAGAAACCAAGTGAGAACCTGTATCAAGGACGGAGTAATCCCCTCTCAAATACTACTGAGAATTCAAATAAGATGAGGACTAGGAATTAGTAATGTAAAGATCAATAATGACCTTGAAAATGTAGTTCTTATAAAATAACAGCGATAACAGCTTCTTTGGGGTGGGTTAAAGAGGAGAGAATGGCAGGAAAAGATGCAAAGGCTGCAAGCAGGGACAATTATTTTAAGATGGTTTCTGTAAAGATAGGGGAGGAAATAATAGCATAATTGATGTTGATGAGATTAATCTAGTGGAGAGAGAAATTGATGATGTAAGGGAGAAACGGAGAAATTGCTGGAGCAACATTTTTTATGAAGGGAGAAGAGATGGGAATCAAGTACAAAACTGGAGAGGTTGGCCTTAGGAGCACAGATATTCTATTTATTGTAATAAGTGTGCAGGCAGAGTATATGGGTACAAATGCCAGTAAATGTGATGCTGGGAGTCTATGGAGGTTCATTGCACAGCATCAGCTAAGAGTGAAAATGGGCATTGGAGAATGGAAAAAAGGTGTTTTAGATGTAAGGAAAACACAGAAAATCTAAGATAGAGGTCCAGGAGAATGAGAAAGTCAGTGGACTAGGGAAATATTCTATGGTTGCTGTGCAGCAATAAGGGCTTAGTTGAGCTAGAAAGCAAGGTGGAAAAGTGACAAGTCATGCTTGTCCCTTCTTGTTCCTCAAACATGCTAAACTTTTTCCATTCTCAGGGCCTTTGCATTTTCTGTTCCCTCTGTCTGGAAACGTCTTCTCTCAGAGCTCCATCAGCTGGCCTCTTATCATCATTTAGGTCTCAACTCCTCAAAGATTATTTCTGTGACCACCACAGCTAATGTAACACTCTACCATATTACTCCATCACATTATTCTCTCTACCGTATTATTCTATTCTATCTTCTGAATAACACCATTGAGATTGCCTTATTTAGTTTTGTACTAACTTGTCTCTTGCTCTTTCCAACAGAATATAAGCTCCTGCTGTGCTGCACTCCAATGTGTACAAAAGTGTCTGGCATGTAGCAGGTGCTCCATAAATATTTGCTGACTGACTGATTCTCCTTATGTTTATATTCCACATTTCTCTGTGGTACTTGATCGCTCAACCTCCCTCTACTCACCTAAAAATAAAATCCTCCTACTTTGCCCTCTGGATCCCCAGTATCATGAAAACCAATCCTCCACAAGTCCTTAACCTCTTTAACATGAACTCACTTCTTCTGCCTCGCTTAAAGTTCTCTGATGAGACTAAGATCTCCCCTGCAGCTCATAAGGTTGATAGGTGAGGTTGACTTTCTTCCTGCTCCCCATTGCTCCTTCTTGACCCTGATTCCTCTACCCTCTTGTAAACCTCTCTTCTATCTCACCAGAGTTAAGAGTTTCAAGCCACCTTGATTTTTCATCCTCTAACTCTCTTTGTTGGTATCATCATCTGGTAAAGTCAAATGTCACAAGAGCAGAGCAAAGGAGTAACCAATGAATTCATACCTGTTTCTTAGAACATGCGGGGAACTACTCATCCCATAATCCCAGAGCCGCTCCACTGCAGCAATAAAATAGTGTCGTGTTTTCTTTTGAAAGCTGCGGGGGCTCTGATTTTCATCCTCACCATAAATGTCAAAATCTTCCTTCTTCATTTCAACTGAGATGGTATCATCATAGTCAATTTCCTCTTGATCTGACTGAAGAGTATTAAGAGTTATTTCCCTTTGATGACGTTTCAAGACTGGTGGGTTTTGAGAGCACAGCCTTTCAGTCCCACCTTGCTTTGCCCAGGTGACTTCTATTTGGGGCTCATTTTGTTCCTCATTTATTGCTGCTATTGTATGATTGCTTTCACAAGGGTTCAGGGGCAAAATGGTATCCTTTTTCTTAAAAGCTGTGTTTTCTGGTGACTTCTCTTGGGATTTCCACTCTTCTTTTGGTATCTGAGTACCATAATGGTTATCCCAAGCAAGAGGATCCAATAGCTTGGAAGGAGTCTTTGCAGAGCTTTCTGTTGCTCCTCTCAGAAAGGGAATTTTTCCAGGTCTATTTGCTTCCTTCCACTTAATTGCTCCCTCTGTTTCCTGAAGAAGGCTCCCTTCCATGAGATCCAGATGGCCAGGAGACCCACTGCTAGTTTCTGTAGGGAAAAGGTCCTTCTGATAAATGCGAACTTTTGGAAGCAATTCAACTTTGCCAGATGTTTCGGGCAAGCCTGGTTTCAAGAAAACAGTGTTCTCAACTTTCTTGTACGTGACTGAATTTGTAGCACTTGTCACCAGGGAGCCAACCTCTCTTTGATCACCAATCATCTCCAAGGTTAGAATAGCTAAAGAAAGGTTATTTTTTTTGACTCCTTGTAAGAAATGACTGCTTTCTTGGACCCCAGAATCTTTCTTTCTGTAAGATGGTGCTGGAAGATGAGAAAAGTTGTCTTGGAATAGGACCCCGGTCAGATCCATAGGTCTAATAGATGGAAATGATGATACCTTTGCAATGGGTAATGGAGATCTATTTGCTTGAGTGATGCTATGACTCCTCGTAAGACAATCTGATAAGGGAGACTGAGTAATGGCTCCTTTCTCCTTCTCATTGTAGTCTATCTGCGTGAGGGTGCTTGGGGTCAAATGTTTTATGTTTTTGGACCACTGGGTTGAGGTGTCCTCCACAATCAGCCTTTTTTCAAGTTCTGTTTCTTCTAGTGGGAGTCTGAATTGTTTCAAAGCTCTCTTACCACGTTGCGTGACAAAATTTTGCTGGCTTGGATTAGGAGATATCCTTGTGGTGTGTGGATATTTCTCTACAATTTGCTTGGTTTGATTTTCCAAACCTTCCAAGTTTTCTTCCTCCCCTTTTTCTGAGAAATGAGCCATGTGGTTCTTTGTTCTATTTGTTGAATCACTTAATGACCTAAAATCTTGACGTACTGGAGCATATGCCCCCTCATATGAACCTTCTACATTTTGCCTAGTGCTCAGTAAGAAAAGGTTCTTCATGAAATTCTTAGTGCCAGTCACTGTATGTATCTGAGGCAAAACTATATTATCTTGGATTAATGTTTCCTTTCTTTCTATTTCTTCCTGAATTTTTTTTTCTTGATTGTGTGTATTATTTTCATGTAAATTATCCAAGTTAGTAAGAAATAGGTTTCTGCTGCTTGGAAAAACTATCTCTTTGAGTCCTATATCCTTTGTAAGTTCACCCTTTCCTACTACCACTTTATTTTTCTCAGACAAGAAATTCTGACCTTCCACAGAGTTTTCTGGTCCTAAGGATATGAATAGTTTTGCACTGGGGCCTTGCCCCGAGTTCAGGGAGTTCTTTCCATGAGTCCTTTGTATCCAATTTGCTGATTCTGGTAAGAATAGCATCTTAAAGAATGACATATCTGGATTTTCTGCATCTGGTAGTATGGGGCCCTCTATTTTTTGTTGGACCATTTCCATGTTTTTCGATGAAGTAGTTTTATTTGACATATGATTTAGCCTCAAAGCTGTAGTATTTTTGTCTGTAAGCATTCTGTCATGAATCAAAGGTGTCACTTTTTGAAACTCAGTATCACTTTCTAATATATTTTGCCAGACTGATGGACTATTCTCAACTAATAATGATGGGCCATCAATGTGAGTCTTTCTATCAGTTGCTGAATTATTGGAAGTTTTGTTTATCTTTAACAAAGAGATGCTAACTTTGAATAAGGCATTATCTTTAGTCAACAAAGCAGGTCCATGAGCTCTTTTCTCTTTAAATAACCTACCACTCTCTGTTGACCATACATTTTTTCCCCATGAACTTTCTTGGCTATTCATTAAACCTGATTCTAACAACTTTGAATCATTATTTTCTTCACTCAAACTCAGAGGTCCACCAGACTCAATAAGGGGAGATGACTTTTTGCCAGACAGAGTGGTATCTAATTGACTCTCATAATGAACTGGCATATTTGGGGGTCCTAAGGAACTTGTATTATCATTACCTGCTGCCAAATTGTCTGATGGAATTGTTGAAATCAGATTATTTGATGAACTAGAAACTTTAAAATCAAGTTTTTTCAACTCTGTTGCTACAGTTGTCCCCAGTTTCTCATTTAATCTTAATTGGAGGTCTGGCTCAGGGGTAAATACCATGTCCCCACTGTGATGGGGCTGTGGCCTGAGGTGTGTCATTTTAGACAGGTTGTTATTAGTGTCTATTGCTCCAGGTGATGGATCATCAGAAAAAGTCTCATATTTGGCTTCTTGGAGATCAGATAAGGATAGCCCATGTGGAGTAGGACTCTGTCGCAAGAGCATCAGCAAATCACTAGAGGAGACATTCTGTACTTTAGGCATTGGTGTTCTGTGTGCAAACCAAGGGTCAGTCTTCTCTATGTCATTTTTGGGAATTGTGGTGGCATTAAATTGCTTTTGCCTAGGGCTAGGGTGTCTTGAATTCTGGGAGAAACTTCTTGGCTCAATGGCATTGTTTTTACTCAGCAAGTATGTTGAAATATCTTCATAACTGTCCTCGTAATAATCACCAGTGTTCTTGTCACAACTAGAAACCTTCAGTAAGGCGGTCATGCCTCTGTTCCGAAAGTCTGAGTTGTGGCACCCCAGAATCCATAGGCCTGGAGATGAGGAAGAATAAGACTCTGGTTACTCATAACACAGATTCTAAAACGTTCTGTTAGAGGTTCTCTCCCATTCCCAGATAAATGAAAAAAATACTAGTCAGTATCATTATATCACAGGTCATTGGGTTAAATCCCTGGAACATGTAATATAAAAGTGGTTTTTGCATTGCTGCTGCTGTTCTATGCCTGTTTCTGACCATAAGAAAAGACTGTGATAAAAATGAATAGATATTGGGATTAAAATGGGGAAATGTAATTAATATACACAATAGTGGAGGGTCTTAATAGTGACACAGAACTCTGAATATGACAGTGATTTAATTCAGGAAAGTATATTAGCTAGATGTTATTGCTATATCACATAGTGGCACAGGTTCCTCTTGAATCCATCAGATTGCCTGGATTCAAATCCCAGTTCTACCATTCACCAGCCATGTGACTTTGAGAAAGTTACTTAAGCTTTCTGAACAATAGGTTTCTAATTTGCAAATGAGGCTAATAGTATCTACCCCATCATATAATACAATGAAATCACATAACACAATACCTAGCATCCACCGTCACCTACTTGCAGAATACGTAAGCACAAGGAAGAAGCATTTAGGTCTAGGATCCAGCTAATATAAAATTCTACCATGATACTAGCAATACTAATTTCTACCATGGCTGGGCATGGTGGCTCACGCCTGTAATCCCAGCACTTTGGGAGGCTGAGGCGGGTGGTCAGGAGATGGAGACCATCCTGGCTAATGCAGTGAAACCCTGTCTCTACTAAAAATACAAAACATTAGCCGGGCATGGTGGTGCATGCCTGTAGTCCCAGCTACTTGGGTGGCTGAGGCAGGAGAATGGCGTGAACCCAGAGGCGGAGCTTGCAGTGAGCCCAGATTGCACGCCACTGCACTCCAGCCTGGGTGACAGAGCAAGACTCCGTCTCAAAAAATAAAATAAAATAAAAATAAAAAAAAAAAATAAAAAATAAAATTTCTACCATGAACAAGATTAGCTGACTGAAGGAATGCAATAAATTATAATAGGCTAATTCCATGGTGGTAAAGTAGATGCATAAACGTAAGAGACAAGATATACCTTTACCAAGCTACCCGTTGGGTACCTCAACAGCCTTGTCATTTCACACAGTCTTTGCAGGGAAGATCTTAACTGTATCTATCTTCTCCTCAAGGGAAGCTGCTCCCAAAAGCCCTGTGAATGCCTACATTCTATGTGCAGCCAAATTATCAATCAAGTGGCAAAGGAGAATAAAAACATATTCTAACATATAAAGACTCAGAAAATCTACCTCAAATGTCACCATTCTCAGGAAGTGATTACGGAATGTTTGCCACCAAAATAAAGGAGTATATCAAACAAGAGAAAGACCTGGTATCCAAGAACCAGGTACCTATCCTGAGGGAGGATAAATAAAAGTCCCAAGTTGATAACTGAGCCTCAGGCCTAGAGAGAACCAGCTCAGACTGGAGTAGGGGGATGCATGCCTCTAGGAGGTCAATCTGTAAGCAAAAAGGAATATATCATATGATGGAACTCTTGAAAAAAAGAGGATAATTCAAAGGAAGACATTATAAGAAAAACAGGGAAACAATGAAAGATTCTGGTTAAACTAGTTACCAAAATGGACTTTTACTTACCCTCCCCTCTGAGAAGGGCCTGGTATTAGGAATGGTGATCAAGCTGGAGTTTAGTTTTAACTGCTTGGGTTAAAATTTTGTAATGAAAATATCTTTTTGTATTGTATGTGTGACTAATGGTAAATTTAAAACAATATAATTAATTAACACATTTCAATCCAAGTGCTTAAAGAAGAGTTGGTTGTTTGATGAAAAAGTCAATAAAATAAATAGCCAAACAAAAATTAAGAAATTTCACATACACAAAATTTGAAGAAAAGAGACACAATTACAGACACAAAGAAAATGAAAATAATTGTAATTCCCTTGGAGACACCTCAGCTGTCAATCTCCTCCTCCAACTTTTGACACAGGTACAAGCTACCTGGCCAAGTTTGGGGTCTAGTCAGCACTACAAATATAGCTCAGTCTCTGCCTCTGTGATCAAACCAGGGCTTTCACTGAACTAATTAATTCTGTAAGCTATTATCTGATCTTGAAACTAGTAATACTACCAAAGTAACTCAGAGAGACAGAGCCCAGCTGATCACATCCTGCACAGACAGTAAAGGAAGTAAGAGGAGAGAAGCCACCATAGAAGACATATAAAAGTCCAGTAGAAACTAGATATTGGACTGGGGTTAGTTTATCTTAACCTTTCTTCTAGTTGTTGAGTTGAGAAGGGAATTCAACATCCATTAAGTAGACAGAGAGTTAAGCTAAGAGCAAGCCACTTATCCTCTCTGCTAGCAAACCTTGATCAGAACATTTTTGTACCTTGTTTAAGGATAAGAGAAGACATGCAATCTATAAAGATACTACAGAACAGGGAGAAGGAAACAGAAGTCAGGAAACTTAGAAGCAATACCTACTTTTGAAAGTAATCCACTGCAGATTCTAGAGGAAAAGTGAGAACAAATATCTTGCCATGCTAAAACACAAGAAGACACAGCTTCCATAATTTAAAACCACAAAGACATAGCTTCTATAATTTAAGACTGGAAAGGGCATACACAAGATGAAATGGTAGTTCAACTAGACAAAATAGAAAAGAATAATTATAAGAAAACTTAACACAAAACAAGAGATGATCAGTTTATGTGTGTATGGGTTCCAATAAAGCCTTACAAAAACAGACAGGAGACCAGACTACCCAAGGCCCATAGTTTGTCCACTCCTGAGGTAGATGGTCACCCACTGTGCCTTTCATGGGGTTTCAAAAGATGACCAGTTTTTAAAGTGGCAAAGAAAGGTCTGGTCTTTCTTCTTGCTCCTTTCAGAAATTGCTGCAAATAATTAAAGACAGAGCACAATTAAGCTGGAAGATATCTGAAGCCATGAAACCACAAAATAGAAGTATAGTTAATATAAAATGGGTATCAAAAGATACAAAGAGTGGAGGCTCATGGCTGGCAGATTTCAGAAAAGTCTAAGAAGACATACTTCTTCATATCTTATACCTCCATATCTTCCCCATTTTTTATATCAAAGTCTAATTATTCCTCCTACTTCAGCCTCCCAAAGTGCTGGAATTCCAGGCATGAGCCACTGCTCCAGGCCTTGTTTCTTTCTTCTATCAAGGTGTAAGTATGACACTTTGATATGAAAAACAGTTAGTCATTCATTATAACAATGGGATCAGGGTCTACAAGCTGGCATCGGTGGTTTTACTGGACTCCTTTCAACACAAGTCTCAAAAGGTAGGAAAGATGGGACCAGAACAAATAATCACACTGACAAGCCATTTTTGCAGTGAAAGTCTGATTTGTAAGGTGGGGAGGGGAGGAAAGAAATTCTGAAGTGTAAACAACTCTGCAGCTTTGATCTTGATGGGCTAGAGAGAAGTAAAGGCTGAAAACTCACACATACAATCAATACCTTTCATAAGAGAATTCCTGCTAATCTAAAACTCACTCCTAATGCCTCATTAATATTAATATATCCACATAAACTTTCCGCTAAAAGTTTATTTAGGACAAACTCACCTCAATGATAAATAATAAGCAAAAAGGATCAAGATACTACAAGATAAAAGGAAGAAAGGAACAACAAGGCCAGGTGCAGTAGCTCATACTGGTAATCCCAGCACTTTGGGAAGCTGAGGTTGGAGGATTGCTTGAGCCCAGGAGTTCAAGACCAGCCCAGGCAACAAAGCAAGACCCTGTCTCTACAAAAAATAAAAAACTTAGCCTGGCATGATGGTGCATGCCTGTAGTCCCACTACGTGGGAGGCTGAGGTGGGAAGATTGCTTGAGCTCAGGAGATTGAGGCTACAGTGAGCCATGATGATACCACTTACTCCACCCTGGGCAACAGAGTGAGACCTTGTCTCAAAAAAAGAGAAAGGAACAACAAAAACAAATAAAAGAAGAGCAGTAATCAAAAAAATGTTGCCAAGGAGAAGATAAAACTTGTAACCAAACATGTCACCATAATCTAATGAGATTACCACATCTGAAAACCAAAGTCTAATGTAGAATTAGCTATAAGAATTTATAGAAGACATATGGGTCAATGGAACAGAATGGAGAGTTCAGAAACAAGTTCTCACATTTATGGTCAATTGATTTTCAACAAGGGTGTCAAGATGACTTAATGGGAAAAGAATCATATTTTCAACAAATGGTGCCAGGACAACTGGATATTTACATGCAAAAGATAAAAAAGAGGTTAGACCTCTTCTTCACACCATACACAAAAATTTATTCAAACTAGATCATAGACATATATGTAACAGCTAAAACTGTCAAACTCTTAGAAGAAAATATGGAAGTAAATGTGGCCTTGGGCGAGGCAAAGCCTTCCTAGATGTGACATCGAAAGCACAAGTGACACAAGAATAAAAAGATAAATTGTATGCCATCTATGAGTTCATCAGTTAACTCAACAACCCAGGAAACAATTATTGAAGTAAAAATAGGTCAATAAATGGGAACAAAACTGAACAACTAGAAGGAAAAATAGTGAGAAAACAAACTAGAACAGCATACTCAAGAACTGTGTGACAAATTGAACAGTATAACATATGTAAATGCAATACCAGAAGAAGAGAATGGGAAACATATACCACACAAACATTAACCAAAATAAAGATGATAGTGCAGGTGCATAAATTTTAGACAATGCAGACATTTAAGGCAACAAGTAGTACTTCAGACAAAAAGGACATTTCACAAAGATGAAAGAATTGATCTAATAAGAATACAATCTTAACTTTGTAAGCACATGATTTTATTTTGCCTTATTTATTTTGAAACATCTTACTAACAAATACAAACAGCAAAATAACAAACTCAACAATCATAGAGATGTCACAGTTTCCTCCATGTCTGTCAGAAACAGACAAAATATCAGGAAGTTTATAAGGATCTTAAAAACATGATAAAGCAACTTGACATAATAGACAAATATATGACACTCTACCCAACAACAGCAGAGACATATTTGTTTCAAATGCAGTGGGCCATTTATCAAATTAAATTATTTACTGGGCATACAGCAAGTCTCAACAAATTTCAAACGATTGAGATAATACAGAGTATGTTATGTGATCACAGTAAAACAAGTAAATCAGCAACAGAGAGAGAGCCAGAAAATCTCCATATGTTGGGAAATTAAAACACTGTAAAATAACTGTGAATAAAACAAGAAATAACGTAAAAATTATAAAATATTTTAAACTCAATGATAGTAAAAATATGACTCATCAAAATTTGTGATATGGGGTTAGAGCAGTATATAAAGATAAATGTATAGCACTTTAAAAAAGTAAATGTTGAAAATCGATGAACCAAGTTTTAATCTGAAGAAGTCAAGAAGAAAAAGAAAACTGAATCCAAAGAAAGTATTGGAATAATAACAAAAGACCAGAAATAAATGAAATGAAAAGCAAAATAAAAATAAAAATTCAACATAGAAAATAAACAAAGTAAAAAAATGTTTTAAAATTCCATGACCTGCTGAACAAAGCAAAAATTTGATCCCATGGTAGGATTAGTAAATTTGATGAACCTATAACAAAGCTGATAAACTTAAAATACTTAAAATATAAATTAAAATATCAGGTATGAAAAGGGAGGCATCAGCACAGACATTATAAGGATCACAAAAGAACATTACAAATAACTTACTTCAAGTAAATTAAACAACTTAGTTGAAATGGACATATTTCTAGAAAAACACAACTGATAAAAACTGATACCAGAAGAAATAGAAAATAACATTAAATACGAAAGAATAAATTTTACAAAAATGTGCAAGACCTGTACACTAAAATTTTACAAAAATATTGCCAAGAGAAAATTTAAAAGATCTAAATAAATAAATAAATAAATAAACAAACAAACTATGCTCATGGACAGGAATGCTCAATATTGTTAAGATGTATGCTCCCCCAAATGGATCTATAGAGTCAATGTAATTCCTATCAAAACCTCAGAAGATATTTTTGTTGATAAAATTGACAAGATGATTCTAAAATTTATATAAAAATCAAAGAGAGCAAAGTTGGAGGAATTATACTAACAAATATTAAAACTTACTATAAGATAATACATTACTGGTACAAAGACAGACCAATAAGTCAATGGAATATAAGAGATCAGGGGTTGGCAAACTTTTTCTGTAAAAAGCAATATAGTAAATATTTTAGGTTTGTAGATACATATGGTCCATGATACATATTATTTGTTTTTTTGCTGTTTTTTTGTTTTGTGTGACAATTCTTTAAAAATGTAAAAAAATTCTTAGCTCACTGCCATATAAAAACAGGCTGCAAATTTGGCTTGTGGAACATAACCTACCCCTAAAATAGAGTACAGAAACAAAGCTATAGTGATATGGTCATCAGATTCATGGCAAAGACAACAGTGCAATTCAGTGAGGAAATTATTTTTTTCCAACAATTGGTGCTAAAGCAATTGAATATCCATATGGAAAAATGAACTTTTATCTGCATCGCTCCATCAAAATTAATTAAAAATGAATCATAAACTTAATTGTGAACAATAGAACAATCAGACTTCTAGAAGAAAATATTTAAAATATGTAGAAAGAATATATAGAAGGATGGCATCATGTTCTTAGGATAGGCAAAAATTTCTGAAACAGAATACAAAACGCACTAACCATAAAAAACTGAAAAATAAGAATTAATTAAATGTAAGAACTTCTATTAACCATAATGCACCCTTAAAGGAGTGAAAAGACAAACCACAGACTGAGAGAAAACATTCACAATACATAAATCCAACCAAGGACTTGTATCTAGGCAAAATAAAGACCCATTCTGACCAAAAACTGACAGAGAACTTTTACCAGCCAACCCACACTGAAGGAAGTTCCAAAGAAGTTTCTTCAGACAAAAAGAAAATGATCATAGATGGAAGCAAGAAATGCAGAAAAGAATGAAAGAAATGAAAGGTGTAAATATATATATATACACACACATACACACACACACACACAAATGATATTGATTACATAAAACAATAATAATGTCTTATGGGGTTTAAAATAGATGTAGAATTCAAATAAATGACAAGAGTACAAAAGGTAGGAGTAAGAAATGGCGTCATGTTGTTTGAAAGTCTTTGCATTGTCTGGGAAGTGGTAACAAATTAAATTAGACTTTAGTAAGTCAAGAATGCATGCCGTAACCTTTAAGATATCCCATATGAAACAGTAGAAGAATGTAAACTAACAAATGAATAGAGTGAAAATGAAATAATAAAATAATAATAAATAATAATAAAGACTCAATTCCAAAGGAAAGAAAGCAGAGAAAAACGATAATAAAACAGGTGGGACAACTAGAAAGCAAATAAGATGTGAGATTTAAATCCAAATATATCAGTAAATCCACTGAGCGTAAAGGATCAATTACATCAACTAAAAGATCAATATTATCAGACTGGATAATAAAATAAAAACCAATTATTTGTTGTTTACAAGAGACGCATGCAACTGTAAGAATGGGGAAAGACTGCAAATAAAAGTAAGGAAAAAAGAAATACTGTACACAAACTAAAATAAAGCATATGTAATAATATCAGACAAAGTAGATTTTAAGATGATGAACATTAGCAGATTTAAAGAGGAGGATTTTATAATGACAAAAGGGGCATACCCCAAAGGATATAACAATTATACATTTGTACATACTAGTAATACAGTCTCAAAATATATTTTAAAATTGACAGAATTAGATAGACAAAATCACAATATAGTAGGAGATATTAACACATCACTCTAACTGATAGAAGAAACAAAACTTAATTAGATTTTT